TGTGTGATTGTCCAACTGTGTGATGTGGACTATTGCTGTGTTTGTAGATTGTCTGGCTGTATGGTGACAGAGGAAGGCTGTGGTTTTCTGTCTTCAGCTCTGACTTCAAACCCCTCACACCTGAGAGAGCTGGATCTGAGCTACAATCATCCAGGAGATTCAGGAGTCAAGCTGCTCTCTGAACAACTGGAGGATCCAAACTACACACTGGACAAACTCAAGTATGTGGAGCAGCACTGCCTTTTTTATTGTGAATACAGATACTTTGATACTTCACTGCTCTTCTAGTGTCCAGATATTAATCAAAGCTGTTAAATATGTCAGTGCACTGGGGCAGTTCTCACATTAAGCGTGATATTATATCTCATATTAACACTGTACAGTTTCAGCATTGTAGTTGAGCAGTGAAACTTGTTCTCTACATTTCTGCTGAAGAACTGTACAGTATCAGGTCAGAGATGTGTGTGTACTGTTCTCCAAATACGTCCTGTGTATACTTTAACAGCAAGTTAAACTCTCCCTCATGAACTTCACAGACACAGAATGTCCTTTATCACACTTTAATAAGGGCGGAGTAAAACTATAAACAGGAAGAAAATAAACAATATCAATTTACATTCACAATGTGGACATAACAAAGATGTTTCTGGCAAATATCTCACATATCTTGTAATCTGGCTCTTTTCTGCTTCTAAACTACCATGAACACAAAATATCAGGCAATAAAAGTGATCAGCAGACAGTGATGCTGGTTCTGATATAGTCCAGTGACAATCACATGTTGAACAAACTCAAATAAAGCAAATGACAAAAAACTCCTAAACTAATCCTTTATAACTGAAGTATTAAGAACAATAAACATAACACAAACCCACGAAGCTTCCAAAGGGCGAGGAGGACTGCAGATTGGTCTGGATTCACTGCTCTCCAATTTAGCAATGTTTGATGATGAAGAGGCATTTGACAGAAGATGAAGATCTCCATCATATTTCAAGTCATTTAACACTGAATTCTGCTTTATTATTGTGCTGCGCTTTTGTCATATGATCATTGAATGAATCCTTCAGTCTTTATATCTGTCTGTTTCTGTGTTTCCATTCTGTTTTCTGTTTCCACATCTGATCTAAAAGCTCTGTGTGTCATTCAGAAGCTGATTTGACAGCTCCACACACACTCATGTTGTTTTACTGCAGTTATTAATGCACTGAGATCAGCCAATCACGATCCAGCATTCAGCACACACTCCACCTGTCTTATTGTGTGTGTGTGTGTGTGTGTGTGTGTGTGTGTGTATGTGTGTTATAAGCTGATGTTTGTGTACTGACTAACGGACAACCTGTTTGTGTGTATGTGTGTGTGTGTGTGTGTGTGTGTTATAAGCTGATGTTTGTGTACTGACTAAAGGAAAACCTGTGTGTGTGTGTGTGTGTGTGTGTGTGTGTGTGTGTGCGTACTGACTGAATGTACATCTGTGTGTGTTTACAGTCTGGATCATGGAGGAGGGAAGAGGATTACAGCAGGACCATGCAAATGTAGGACTACACACACACACACACACACTCTTACACACTCTCTCAAACACACACACACACCCATGTACATGATCACACAATTAGACACACACAAACACACACACACTTCCTCTCTCTCAAACAGACACACATACACACAGAGCAGTGAACACATGCGTACACACACACACTCTCTCTCTCTCTCTCTCTCTCTCTCTCTCTCTCTCACACACACACACACTCTCTCTCTCATAAGCTGCGTCCCAAATGGCACACTATACACTATGCACTCATGCACTATGTACTTATGCACTTACACACTCAACAGGATAGTATATGTATGTAGTGGTGTCCCAAATGGCACACTAATGTTTTTTTACTAAGCGGAAATTCAAACCGTTTCCCTGATGATGTTTGACAGTTGCCAAATCAGTGAAATAAACGACTGAATTATCAAATAATACCTGCCGTGAGTATTGCCGCATTCACCATCGGGAGGCGCTATAATCACAATCGTAGGAGAATTTTGCTTTCACCATCCAAAATAAATAAAGTTATTCAACATGTGCGTCCGATAGCTCCGCCCCTTCCGCTACGTAAGCAAACATGCGGTCGTTGAGTGCGTGAAGTGTCCATCATTACACACTTCATTTTAGCGGCTGAATAAGTGCATCATCCGGGTAATTAAAGTGCACTAATTATTTTTAAAATTTTCAGTGTGAACACACTACTTACACTATTTATACTACAAAATGGCGTAGAATAGTGCATAAGTATGCGATTTGGGACGCAGCTATACAATCAGACACACACACACACACATATACTCCCTCCCTCCCTCCCTCCCTCCCTCCCTCTCTCCCTCTCTCTCTCTCTCTCTCTCTCTCTTTCTCTCTCTCTCTCTCTCTCTTACACACACACACACACGCACACACACACAGCTGTGGTTGTAAATGTGTGTGTTCTTGTGTTCAGATGTCTGTTTCCTCACTCTGGATCCAAACACAGCACACACTCAACTCATTCTGTCTGAGGAGAAAAGAGAGGTGAAGTGTGTGAGAGAGAATCAGCCGTATCCTGATCATCCAGACAGATTTGATTATGATCGTCAGGTGTTGTGCAGAGAGAGTGTGTGTAGACGCTGTTACTGGGAGATTGACTGGAGTGGAGATGAAGTGTGTATATCAGTGTCATATAAGAGCATCAGGAGGAAGGGAGGAGGTGATGAGTGTTGGTTTGGATATAATGATCAATCCTGGAGTTTGCTCTGCTCTTCCTCCAGATTCATATTCAGTCACAATCACACACACACTGATCTCCCAGTAAAGCCGCTCAGCAGGAGAATAGGAGTGTTTGTGGATCACAGTGCAGGAACTCTGATCTTCTACAACATCTATAGAGACACAATGAGCCTCATCCACTCAGTCCAGACCACATTCACTGAGCTGCTCTGTGCTGGGTTTGGGCTTTATTCTGGATCATCAGTGAAACTGAGCTGAAGACTGACGAGAGATTTACCCAGAATCCTCTGCAGGAGCAGTCAGCAGCTTTGTGTGTGTGTGTGTGTGTGTGTGAGAGAGAAAGTCTGTTTGTGTCTGTCTGTGTGTGTGTGTGTGAGAGAGAGCGCGTGCGTGTGTGTGTGTGTGTGTGTGTGTGTGAGAGAGAGAGAGTGCACGTTTGTGTGTGTGTGCGTGCATTTGTTCACTGCTCTGTGTGTGCATGTGTAGTGTGAGAGTGTCTATGTTTGTGTGTGTGTGTGTGTGTGTGTGTGTGCACGACAGACAGTGTCTATGTTTGTGTGTGAGAAAGTGTGTGTGTGTGTATGTGTATGTATATATATATATATATATATATATATATATATATATATATATATATATATATATATAAAGCAGCTACTTTTTTAGCCCCTTCACAACCCTTTGAATGTTTATATTGCATAAACTTTTATAAAATATTTATTTTTGTTTTATTATTAATTTAATTTGTATTTATTTACTTTTTTTTACGGTAAATACAATTGTTATTACTATACTGTTTTTTCCCCTATGTTTGTGTCTGCCTATTGTTGTAATTTTATTACGTCTTGCTTGTTTATGCATGTAAAGCCTATTTGGTTTGCATATTTTTTGAACATTAAATAAAAATTAATTAATTAATAAAAACATAAAAATTAGATGTAGTATATAATCCCAAATCTTTGAAACAGTCGGTGGTATGGAGTTTCTTTTAAAGCGTGACTTTTAGTTTCAGTTTTTATTTTGCCCACTTAGTAATAGTCACACACACACACACATGTGTGTGTATATATATATATATATATATATATATATATATATATATATATATATATATATAGCCCCTCATGTTTTTTTTACATTTTCTAAATTATGTAAAACATAGAAAGAAAATCTTCACAGTATGTCTGAGAATATTTTTTTCTTCTGGAGAAAGTCTTATTTGTTTTATTTCAGCCAGAATAAAAGCAGTTTTTTATTCTTTTTTAAACCATTTTAAAGACAAAACTATTAGCCCCTTTAAGCTATTTTTTTCCCTATTTTTTTATAAATCAGTTATTAGAGATTAGTTATTAAAACTATAATGTTTAAAAATGTGCCAAAAAAGTCTTATCTCCATTAAACCGAAATCGGGGAAAAAAACAAACTTTTTTTTTTTACTTGTTCAAACTACTTAATTAAAATGTGCTGAAATAACACAACTCTTGAGATTTTGAGATTGGGACAACTTAATGTTCAGTCCAAATAATTTGGTAAAAGTATTAAGTTACCTTAATTTGTGTTGAGACAACATGAAAGAATTGTGTGGAACCCTGCACAAATATGGTGATCGGTTCACAATAAGTTAAAACACACTGTTAGATTTTGCTATTTTGGCTTCTTGGGTCGCTCGCCAATGTATAGATGACTCTTAATACATAAAATAAGTAAGCTGTAAAAAGTCCTTACGGGGTGAAGACTTTATTGAAGACAATGAATAGTGCAGTGCCTCAGCTGTGATGTTAACTTGTCTGTCTTTAAGTAACTTAAACCAAAGTACTGTCTGTGAGACACTGCTTTATAACAAAGGATGATCTAATTTGTGAATCATGTTTTAGCTAAGCATGTGATCCTCTCGAAAGTAGTTTTTAAATAAACTTCACTTGAATAAACAGCCAAACTACATGAAAAAACTGCCGTTTTGAATAAACCCGTGTTTGTGTGGACAAGGCCTCAATTTTGAGGACTCTGCTCTCCATTGTGAAGCTTTAGGTGAGCGCTGAGGCTTCTTTTACATTTAAAGCCCTTTCCACACTCACTGCATCTAAAACGATCCTCTCCTGAGTGAATCTTCATATGGTTCTTAATGGAGTCTTTGCGTGTGAGACTCTTTCCACACTGATCACATGTGAACACTATGGTTCCAGAGTGACCATTCATGTGGTTCTTGAGGCTAGCTTTGGTTGTGAAGCTCTTTCCACACTGAGCACATGTAAACGGCTTCTCTCCAGTGTGAGTTCTCATGTGGTGTTTGAGTGTGCTTATATGTGGGAAACTTTTACCACACTCTGTGCATGTGTAAGGTTTCTCTCCAGTGTGAATCCTCATGTGGATGTAAAGGTCTTGTTTTTGACCAAAACTCTTTCCACACTGTTCGCAGGTGTAGGGTTTCTCCCTAGTGTGAACTCTCATGTGAGCAATTAGGTGCGGCTTTTTACTGAAACTCTTTCCACACTGCTTACAGCTGAAAGGCTTCTCTCCAGTGTGAATTCTCATGTGCGCTGCCAAGTTTCTTGCATGACGAAAGTTTTTTCCACACTTTTGACATGTGTATGGCCTCTCTCCAGTGTGAATTCTCATGTGGGATTTAAAGCTTTGTTTTTGACTAAAACTCTGTCCACACTGTTCGCAGGTGTAAGGTTTCTCCCCTGTGTGAACTCTCATGTGAATATCAAGGTGTGACTTTTGACTGAAACTCTTTCCACACTGTTTACAGCTGAAAGGTTTCTCCCCAGTGTGAATTCTCATGTGAATATCAAGGTTTGGCTTTTGGCTGAAACTCTTTCCACACTGCTTACAGCTGAAAGGCTTCTCCCCGGTGTGAATTCTCATGTGTGCTTCAAAGTTTCCAGCATGATAGAAGCTTTTTCCACACTTTTGGCATGTGAACTTCCTCTCTCCAGTGTGAATTCTCATGTGGACTTTAAAGCCTTGTATTTGACTAAGGCCCCGTTTACACTAATGCGTTTTAGTTTGAAAACGCATAAGTTTTGCTACGGTTACGCCATCCGTCCACACTACGCCGGAGTTCTCGAGCGCCGAAAACGGAGCGTTTCGAAAACGCTGGAGAGGCCGTTTTCATTCTAAAACGCTGCAGCTCCGTCTCAGTGTGGATGGGGAAAGACGGAGACATCTAAAAACGGAGGCGGGGCTGCAGACATTCGCCTCTCTGATTGGGGCTTTAGTGCCATTGCGTATCCTTCCCTTATTCGTCAAGCCCCCCTCACATGACTAAAACGCATGAAGACAGCTGACCAGCCTTCACTGTAAACAACAACATGGACACGGAAATTGGAGCGTTGTTTGCATTATTGTCTGTTTTAGGCGCCATTGTGCAGTTAAACTCTGCATTTTTTGCTACAGCAGCTGCATATATTCGCAAGAGACAAGCTATCGTTCGAGCTCTCGCTAATCGCTCGCGTTTCAAGCGACGTAAGCCCTATTTAGAACGCCGATTTTGGATTACACCGGGAAGAACCAGTGCATGGTGGGACATGTTTGTAAGTGAAGTAGTTGTTCCCGAGGATTGGCATAAGAACTTTCGGATGTCTAGGTCGCATGATCCACCTCAGCGAAAAACTTCGTCCGTTTGTGGAAGGACAGACGACGAGATTGCGGGCGCCAGTGGATGTACTCACAAAGGTTGCGTGTACCTTGTATTACCTGAGTGACGAGGGAAGGATCAGAAAAACTGCAAATGCATTTGGACTGTCCAGACAGGTCGTTTCAATCATCATTCGACAAGTATGTAAAGCTATTACCACCACCCTGGGCCCCGAATACATCAAGGCACCGAAAACAGAGGCCAAAGTTAATGAACTGGTCGCCAACTTTTATAGGACACACGGAATGCCGCAGTGCTTGGGTGCAATTGACTGCACACACATCGAGATAAGAAGACCTCTATCCAACTCCACAGACTTTATTAATAGAAAGGGTAAATATTCTTTGAATATTCAAGCATTGTGTGACTATAAGTACTGTTTCATGGACGTCGTTGTAAAATGGCCGGGGAGCGTACATGACGCGCGTATATTTGCCAATTCTCAACTGAGTAGCGACCTAAAGGATGGAACGATACCCCCCTGTCCTAAGAAGTTGTTGGATGATGAGGAGGCTGTTTCCGTGTTTCTTCTGGGTGATCCAGCTTATCCTCTGATGCCGTATCTCATGAAAGAATACCCAAACGGCGGAGTTACACCACAAGAGCAGTACTATGGGCTATCACTTTGCAAGGCACGCATGGTGATCGAGTGTGCGTTTGGACGTTTGAAAGCACGATTTGCGGCTCTGAGAAGGGCAATGGACATAAATATGAATGATCTTCCTTTTGTTATTTATGCGTGCTTTGTGTTACACAACTACTGTGAAACGCTTAACGAACCCATAAACGAACACTGCATAGATGCTGCATTACAATATGAAAGGGACTTTCAGCCATCCAACAGAATAGTTGAGAGAGCAGACAAAGAAGCTGAAGGAAAACGAGTGAGATGCGTATTGACAAGATTTCTTGACCCCTGAGCCATTTTAGCTGTCTGCCCTTTTTTTTTTTAAAGCATGTACATGTTTAAGTTTGAAATTTGTATTAACTTTTCATCATGACTATTGTCTTTTTACTACAATGTCAATATACTGTCAAAATAAAGTCATGACAAAGTGATTTGATGTGTGCTTGTATCTATTACACCTGATTACATGGACAATATAATTTGTTTGTTAGAGTGAATATAAGTAAACTTGAAACATCGCAACACAAGCATTAAGGCGTGTTGAGTATAAATACAAAATGAAATACAAACAAAACATTCAGTTTTGCTGTTCATTTAGTACAGACCACGTAGATCTAATTACAAAAACGACATAAACACTAAAATAAATAGAAAGTGGTTTATTGACAGATAATTTGCGTATGATATAATGTAAACATTGCACAACACACAAAAATTATACATTTTAAATGAAATACAAAGAAAATATAACAATTATAATATTTTAAAACAAAAGCGCACTTATAAGTTTTATTGAAGTGTATATATATATATATATATATATATATATATATATATATATATATATATATATATATATATATATATATATAAATAAAGAGAGATATGTGCAAGTTGGTTTGTGCATAAGTATGTAATATGTGCAAGTTAGTACAATAAACAGTGGCATAAACAGTAAACATTACACATCAAATGTATACAGTAAAAGTTAAAATATAAACAAAATAAAATATAAACAAAATACTTTAAACATTTATAAACAAATCACACTTTTAACTATGTACAGCTGTGCATATAAGTTGCATAAGTGTATGTACACTCTGAAACAAAAACAAAAAAACTACAAATTTGTGTAGTCGCCATATGGCGAGGTGCTGTGTTGGGTTGTATGTGCTGCTGGTGGATTGTACTCTCCAAGTGGTCTTCTTGTGGGTGTGCGGTCGTATGAGTAATGGTTTGGAAATGGTGGGTGTGGTGATGGAGGAGGCATGTGACCACGGCTTCCCGAACCTACAATATGCTGCACCAGCATTTCAATGTTTGCATTCAGGCGGTCCATGGTTGATGACCACTTGCTCATCGTCTGAACAAACTCGTTGTCAGAAGACTCGAGTTGCTGAAGAAGGCGTCTTTTCAGTTCCAGGTCCTCCTGAGCAAGGGCATCAGATGAGAGCTTGCGCTTTAACCTTTCGCTTCTGTGCCCGCTGAGAGTGGCATCAAGTCTCTGGCGACGATGACCACTTACTGCGGACGGAGAACCCTCTGTAACACTTTCTCCAGCAGAAATTGTCATCCCTGCAGATGACTGTTCTGAGACTTCTGAACCAATGCAAGAAGTCTCTATGCCTTCCGACAAAGCAACTGTTGCTGGAGATCCTCCCCAAACCGACTCACAAAGCTCAAAGAAGAGTAGGACCACCCGTCCATGCCCACTTTTCCGGCCACAATCAACAGCTTGCCGATAACGGAGGCGTATTGATTTCAGTTTTGTTGTCACGTGACCTATAAGCACAAAACACAAACCAATTGAATAAGGGCAGATAATAAATAAATACACATTTAAATAAATACAAAATATTACATAGCAAGCATTAAATAAATAAAAACACACACTTACACAAACTGGTTAAATTTGTTCTTTTACATTGTTTTCCAGAACAATGTAAAATACCCATACTGTAAGCATGAGATTAGAGAATAGTATATTTCTCATATTTACCATTAATATATTTATACAATAGAAATCACACGACAGTGTGTGTGCAGTCTACATTTAAAAAAAAAAAAGACTTAAAATCTTTTTGATGTTTCTAATATTGGACTATAATAATTATTAAAACAAACACATACTGATACAAACAAAGACACGTGGTCTAGCCCCTTTCTCCATCCCGACAACACAACAGATGTTTTGTTGCATAACTAATAGTTTTCCATTTAAATGTACTTATGTTTGTCTGGATTTGTAGTATTTATAAGCCAAAACAAAAAACGAGTGAATAAACAACGTACCTTTTGTTATGTCCTCCTTTTTGTGAGGAAAATCTTTTCCCGTAGCCATGGCTTCCTCCGATGTCGGATAGTTCTCCAAAAATCGGTTGAGTATGTCGTTGTATTTAGTCTGACATGACTCCCAGTCGACATTTTCGATAACCATGGCCGTTTTATATTCATTTGTTACGTTTAGTAACAACTCGACCTCGTCGTCTGTCCACAAAAATACCTCTCTTGCTTTCTTTGCCATCGCGTTCATTATTCAAGCGGCGTTTGTTGACTAACAATAACCAAATGCCGAGCGAGACACATGCTTCCTGTTTATACTAGGACGCGCATGCCCAGAGTGCGCGAATGGTCACGTGATATACGTTTTTGGTGGCGTAGTGTGGACGGAGATAACTTCTAAAACGCTAGGTGAAACGCTAGTGTGGACGCGGATCGTTTTTGATCTAAAACGCCGTTTTCAAACTAAAACGCACTAGTGTAAACGGGGCCTGAGAAAGTGAGCAGTGTTCTGAGTCGACACAGAGTGTTAGAAATCTCACTATAAACCCCTTATTCACTAGTCCCTAAATTAGTTGATCAGTATAGTCCACTAGACAGAGTAAATGAGCACACTTGAGTGAATTGAGACACTAATGAACACCTGCTGTTAACAAGAACAATCGATGAAGGAAAGAACAAGACACAAAACTACAGACAAATGAATGAAGAAAGAGGAGGATTAAACACCTCCACAAACAGCATTAGGAGCTTCACTGATGACACTTTGACTTGATTTCTCTCCTTTATCTACTAAACATCTTTAAACATTAACAAAGCTTTATATCTTTATTGAAGATGTTTGGACCTCACCATTGTGCTGATGCTTTATTTATTTATTTACTTTATCTGATCATTTACTCTTTCACATCAATGTTTCTCTGGCGTTTATAGCTGTGCTTGTGAAGCGGATCATTTATGACAAGAACAGCTCAAAGAATTTGACAGCTCAAAGAATTTGTACATGCTGAATGATCATAGATAATAAAATAGCTCTTATAGTTTGAGTCTATGCTGTTTTCTATTTCCACATCTGATCTTAAGGTTCTGTGTCTCATTTAGAAGCTGATTTTACAGCTGCAAACACACTATTGTTGATTTATTAATGCATCGATATAATAATAATAATAATTCATTTTATTTGTAAATGGCGCCTTTCTAGGCACCCAAGGTTGCCTTACAATAAGCATCAGCAGACATGCTAAACAAATGAAACATTACTAAAAACAATCATTGACCAAACAAGTTAAAACACAATAGCTAACATAAAAGAACATGATTAAAAAAGTGTTAAGTAAAAGCCTGCTTAAAAAGATGGGTCTTTAGACGTGATTTAAAATTGTGAAGACTATCACTGC